GATCGATAATATGGATCAGGGAAGGCCCGGAATGTCAGCATACAGAGTTGGGACTCGATCCTGAAGCGATGGGAACATTTCCCTGGGCAGTTTTTGAGTTAAAAAAAAAATTGTCGCTATGGTTAAGATGCAGTAGGGTAGAGGCTGGAGGGCTAGGTCAGGGGCAGAGGGATAGGCCGGGGTTGGTTGCAAAGCCATGGAGATGGGGTGTCAGGAGGACCAGCGCCAGGGTTTGGCCATGGAGATGGAGTTAGGGGCTGAGCACACATTACTGAGGCCCATACTCACCTGATTGCTCAGGGAGAGCCCATTTCTGTCTCCCAGTGACCATCTCCTTTCTGGCAGCACAGTCTCCCCGCTTGGCTCCAGCAACCCCACCTTGAGCAAAGTTTCAGAATCACTCATCCCATTCATTGGAGCAGCTAATTCCTAAAACCCAGCTGTTGGCAAGGAGACTCACTTCCCTACAGAGTCCCCTAATCTTGGTTCTCTCTGCCTGAAAGAAAGAATACATACATTAGGACTGAGTGTCTCCCTTTCTTATTAAATAATATCTATGGGCCAGCCATTAGTACTCTCATGAGTGAAAGAAATACAGTTGAAAAATTAGTCTCATTTTTGGACTTGGATCAGAAATGGGGCCAGGGCACATAATTATAGGAAAGCCCCCTTTAGGGGTCATCTCCCCTCTGCACGCACACACACACACACACACACATACACACACACAAATAGTGGGTAGGGAGGAAGACTGGAGAAAGAGGAGAGGGTAGTGTTGCTTTCTGGGGGACTAAGAAAAGAAAAATGGTTCCCATCTACTCATGTTGGCAGTTTTTTTTATTACCAGAGATTAGAATGTGCCATCTCTGGAGCTAGAGCTGGCTTGCAGATGTGTTTTGTTTGGACCACACAGTGTTTTTAAGATTTTCGAATGTGTTGCTACCGTTTAAAAAATCAAGAGATTTTACATTGAAAACTAGATTTCTGCTTCCATATTTTTCGGGGGCCACTGGGCTAGCCTTTTTAACAGAGAAGGGTGGAGCAGCCACTGTGTCCTTTAGTCAAACAGCACTGTTCACCATGGTCCCCAATGGCCTTCCTTCCCTCGTTGTCTCACCTGACGAGCATGTGAATTTGCAAGCTCTTGTTTGAAGTCAGATCAGACTGGGCAATTAATGAACCCAAAGTGAGAGTTGACTCAATGTTTGCTAATGCAACAGTGAACCGAGAGAAAGAATTTACAGAAAGTTGGAGAGATCAAAGGGAGGTTGTATGGCTGGATGATGATGATGAGTATCAAGGCTCGCTTTGTGAACAACTCTTATTCTATTATAAGTGGGTAAGTTCAGCATCAGAAAGGAGCTCTTCACGGGAACCCAGATCATGCTGCCCTGTTGGGTGACCTTTGCAGGGGATACCCTATCAGAACCTCTGTGAATCATGTCTGAGGTCCCTCCTGTGTCTCGTCTCCAACTCTCATTAGCAGTGAACTCAGACTTAGAAGTTTTGCAGGAAGGAGATTCATTTTCTTTTCTTATACCCCCTCCAACCTCAAAAGAGACAAAATTTCTGGCATTGAGTATTAGCATTCTTATATTAAGACAGATTTACCTCTACTCACTTTGACAAAAGAGCTCAGGATCTCCCAAGAAAACTGATTTTTCAGAGTTGCTCATTTGAATGGACAGCACATCCAAAGCTTGTGGTTTGGTTGAAAAGGGGTTTTCTGTGTTCCTTGTATTCATCCTTCAAGTTCATGGCCATCGCCCATCACCACCTGAGAGTACTTAGTGCTCAGAGCAACTGAAAGGAAGCATAAATCCTGCTTGCTTTGAACACAACCCAGGGTTCACCGTATATTCTTGTCCTAGCCAATGCTAATCAGCTTTTCCCCGCTTCTTCCCTCTTTCATGCTTGTAAATCAAGCTGCCCCAGTATTAGTCACCACAAAGGAGATAATTAGTAAGTACACGCTGCTACCTTCATAGATCACTCTGTCTCTGGTTCAAACTAAGCCAAGAGACTGGAGAAAGCTAACATTACACAGTATGAGTTGCATTAGTAGAACCTTTATTACTCAAAACATATGAGTCCGAATACCTAAATCAAGACTCTGCACCCTCCCCAGCTGTTGTAAGAACAGCTGTGATATGAGACCAAAGGAGAGGCTACTTACCTACTTTATGAGGTTTTCCTTTCCTTGACTCAAAAACTTATCTTTAGAACCCCAAGAATTTGAAAGTGCAATGGTTTCTTAATGGCATAATCTTAGGATTCAGATATTTTTAAAATACCTTAACCCTCCATTGATGGGGCAGCAGAGAAAGGTGCCACTTTCTTTTACTAGGACATACTGTGTCCTCCCAACAAAGCCATGGCTTGTGCCTTTGCCAGCCATTTGTCCAACTGGAAAATAACATTACTACTCTGGCAGGGCACATGGTCAAGAGCATTGCTGCCTCCTCAGAAAAGACCGTTTCCAGACCAGCTCGGAACTTCCTTTCCATGCACTGCTAATCAAATACTGCCAGCCTGCCTGGAAGTGTTTCATTCAAGTATTTGTTACTCTGGAGCTGCTCAAATGCAAGTTGGCTTTTATTTTTTCCATCACACAGTATTTCACCAATTTTTGAGTTTCCCAGATCAACCTCTTCACTATTTTTAAGCAGAACTATTTCAAGCCAACGCAGCTAATCAGTACAGTAAAACCTCACGAATTCAAGCCAAGAGATTGAACTCTTCCAGCTGAGGACAAGCACTAGCAGTGTAAGTTGGAGGCCTGTTTTCTCATCTGGAAGATGAGGACATACGGTCGTATAACCAAACTCCTTTTCTACTAATATTAAAACCACATTTCATCTAATCTAAGATGCCACTGACTATAAGAGATATCATGTTCATATAACAGCAAAGAAGATGACATTTTAAAATGTGCCATTAGTTAAATAATCCCCAAACACCAAATATATCCCCATGATATATAGATTGGTGACACTAGACTCTTGTGGCTTTGAAATCCATTCAGATGAATTTGGCAGCTTCTCCTGCCCTTGGTTGTGTTGCTTGGCACGAAACAGGCAATCCTTTTTGAATGTTCTCAATAACAAAATGTAACACCGCTTTTAATTCCCTTGGGTGCATCTTTCTTTCTAAGCATATACAACTTTTGTTTATCCCTTTGCAAGAAAACATGGTATTATGATTCTGCTTCTAACAATGAATATGTACTTAATCAATATCCAATTGTTCAGTTTTTGAGGTTTTCTATAACTTTTTGTTTTAGTACTGAATCATTACATTCAAATGGCAATTACACTCAATGGTGTAATACCAAGCGTGTAGGCAACTCAATGGAAGTGATAAGGGGTACCCATGTGACTAGGTTTGCCATGCTGGGATGGTGGCATCTGCATCATGAGTGCCACCTGGCAATAGAAACTTCACAACCCCATCAATCACACATGCATCCTGATTTTAGACATGTTAAAGCATGAAAAGAGCATCTTAGGATGGATCAAATATGAAAATAGCTACAGTCTCACAAGAACTGATTGTAGTCATGTGGATACCATGACGACTTAAATGAATTCGCATTCTAGTACTTTTGGCAAAAAGCACTAAACCCCTAGTAAGACTTAATGTCAATCAAACCTCACAGCAATCCAGAAAGTATATGCAAATTGGGAAGTTTAGCCAGCTAAATAAAATTTCCCCAGATCACCCAGCTAAGTAAATTTCAGAGCAAAGATTTGAATCTAGACAATAGGACCTTCCATCCTGCCATTTCTGTGACTCTATGGGCAGTACAAATCATGTGTGCATATCACTGTAGACTGACCTTTGATTTCATCTACTTTCAAAAACATGAAGCATCCCTAAAGTAGGATCTCAAAGGGCTATTTAAAATAGTTCAGTCATATAGGGTTTTGTGTAATGAATTGATAATAATTTATAATTAACACATCCATTATATGTAAATGGACACTTCTTAAAGGAGCTCATGATGTGATTTCTGCCTTCACAACTACAGAAACTGGAGTGGCTACCTGTAGCTACCCTCCCGACAGTGCAGTGAGATAGTTAAATCACCATTTCCTGATCAAAACCTAGCCTGTGCGCTGCAATGACTTGCCCAGTGGCAGTGTTCATGTTCATGGCAAAATATGGACCTAGATCAGCTTAAACCCTGGTCTCCTGAGCCTCAAGAATGTTCTTTTTCAACTTCTCTCTATTGCACCAATAACTTGCCTTTCTCACAAAGTTTGGTTTTTGTGGAATTTTTTGGATTTTTTTTTTATAGCATGGACAGTGAATGGGTAGGGACAAATATGTTTTTGCTAAAATCCACAAAAGCTGTTTTACTCTCTTAATGCTAGACAACATGGCGATGACTGACACTTTTCAGATCATGGGAGCCCCCAGCACCAGGGAGGCCCTCCCAGACCAGCCCAGAGAAAGAGAATGGAAGCCACCAAGCTGCCACTAGAGGATAGCAATGCTGAGCTCACTCCTGTGGCTTTGTGGTGAGGGTGATTCTCTTTCCATGGACAGTTAAATATGGAATCTGGGAGGAGCTTTATATTTACGTTCAGTGCTGTGGGAACAAAATCCAAAAGAAATGAGTAAGAGTGTGACTAAGGGCTTTCATGGTCAAAATAAACACCAGCAAGCAGGAATTACCAAACAGTTGAACATTGCCAGCCTCAAAGCCTGGTCATGTAGACACCATGGCAACCTGAATAAATTTGCATTCCAGGAGCCAATGTAGAGATTGCTTTAAGAGAATGCAGTGGGCATCTTTTTAAAAACATCTCAAATTATTAATTCACTTGGTTGGCAAATGTATATTGAGTACCAACATGTGAAAAGGGAAGAGAGAATATAGGGGAAGGCAAATCAAATTCCAAGTTCAACAAGCCTATTATACATTCTTCAATTGTATTTGAAGAGGTCTGACTGAGGAATGGCAGCACTTCACCTCCCCACTGGTTCTGTTACAGCTGTAAAGGTGCCTCCCACTACGGCCTGACCAAAGACAGGAAGAGGCGCTCACAAGATGGCTGTCCAGATGGCTGTGCAAGCCTCACAGCCATGGCTCCCTCCCCAGAGGTTTCTGCAGCTGCCACCATCTCCTTAATGACAGACGAGCCTGGCCTAGACAACCCTGCCTACGTGTCCTCGGCGGAGGACGGGCAGCCAGCAGTCAGCCCAGTGGACTCTGGACGGAGCAACCGAACTAGGGGTGAGTCAAATGGGTAGTTGTCCAGGATTGGGTTCCTTGGCTTGGGATTGCTCTCTGTGGAATACTTACTGTGGAAAGTTCTAGAAATGTTTTTTAAGGGGAAATCATTCTGGCAGTTTTGGCAGGAACCCAATATCCAATTCTCCAAAGTGAAATGAAACCACAAGCACCTCCGATCATTAAACTGTGTGTAATCTGACTTGGTGAAAGGGGCTGAAACTAGACCTAATGATTCATCACTCCTGCAGTGTCAGTAATTTTTCAGTCATACTGTTCAAGAAAAGTGCTATTGTATTCAGTTCAGCCCAGAAACAGAAAAGAAAAGCAGAGCACATCATACATATTTCACTGTAGAAAACTTAGAAAATACAGGTAAGCAAATTCTACAATCCTACCACCTAGAGGTAGTCACTGTTAATGTCTTATTATATATATTTTATCAGATATGTACATAAATGATGATTTCTATTAAATCATAACTACTGTTCCTCTTGTTGCTTTTCCTCAGCACGGCCCTTTGAGAGATCCACTATTAGAAGCAGATCTTTTAAAAAAATAAATCGAGCTTTGAGTGTTCTTCGAAGGACAAAGAGCGGGAGTGCGGTTGCCAACCACGCTGACCAGGGCAGGGAAAATTCTGAAAACACCACTGCCCCTGAAGGTAAATGACCTCCCCACAAGGCAGGATGGACATGGGCTAGGCTTCCAGGGGGACTTCAGGGATGATGCAATCTGATCACCATCCACCTTCTGTGACCCCTCTCTTCCCGAGGGTATACAAAGTTTTTTACTTTGATTAGCCTGCTTCTCACGTAAGTAGCTAAAGGCAGAAAGTATTATCATCTTTTTACATAGATTGAAGAAAAAGTGTTGAAACCCTTACCTTCAGGTGCTAGTGCCATTATGCATTTGAAGAAGAAGAATTATAGTTAAAGAGTGAAAAACATTTAAAACAATGACTGGCACATACAATAAATGCAATATATATATTTGCTCTCCTTACTCTTTCAACTACATGTGAGGTGTGGTGCTGAGTGTTTTACATGCATTTTGTCATTTAAGCCTCACAACAACCCCATACTCCGTGTGTATGTGTGTGTACGTGTGTGTGTGTGTGTGTGTGTGTGTTTCGAGACAGAGTCTTACTCTTATCGCCCAGGCTGGAGTGCAACGGTGCAACCTCTGCCTCCTGGGTTCAAGCGATTCTCCTGCTTCAGCCTCCCAAGTAGGTGGGATTACAGGCACCTGCCAAAACAGCCAGCTATTTTTTGTATTTTTCAGTAGAAACGGGGTTTCAGCATGTTGGTCAGGCTGGTCTTGAACTCCTGACCTCAGGTGATCCACCCACCTCGGCCTCTCAAAGTGCTGGGATTACAGGCATGAGCCACCGCACCCGGCGCTACTACTATTCCTGTTTTACAGATGAGGAAACTGTGGCACAGAGAGGCTCCTTAGGTTGTTCCAAATTACCTTGCTAAACTTTGAATCCAGGTAACATGGCTGTAGAATTCATGCAAAGCAAGCTGTTGAGTCTTAGATCCCATATGTTTTCTCCAATATAAATGGAGCTGAGGAAATACTGTCCTACTGTCTTTGCTTTTTATGTTAGAACTTAAAGTAGTAATAATAACATTTTTTAAAAATTGAGCTCTTTCTGTATGCACATAGTGTTTTCAGTCATTTAGCTGTGACAATAATGTTAAGGGGATAGGACTCTCATTCCCATTTTACAGATGGGAAAACAGAGACCCAGAGGGATTAGGTAATTAGTCCAGTCACCCGGCTAGAAAATGGCAGAACCAAGATTTTAACTCAGGTCCTCTCATTCCAGAGCCTACTCTCTTAGCTCCTGGGTTATACTGCCCTCTACTCTTGGGAGTTGGGAGGCAGAGCCCAAACCACTGTATGTATTATGCCCTCAAAATTCATGAGCAGCCTTATCAGACCTTTTCTTGTATACTTATTCATGATTGCCTCTCACCCTGTACATACATGCTGCATGCTCTAAGAGCTCTCAGCTGATTACAGTCCTGTAAATGCTGCATGTCTTTCTCTCGCCTCCCTTCTATTGTCCAGCCTGCACTCCCACTCTCCTTTCAGCTGGCATTGACATTCCTTCTTTCAGGTTTAGTGTCAGCCTTTGCCTCCTCCTGGAAACCTCACTGACTCCTTCAGCCCTCTTTTTAGGTGTTTTTGAAGCACCTGTAGCAGTGATTATCGTATTTCATGTAACTGTACCTCAAAGTGTAGGGATTATTATTATTTTTCTGAGTCCTTGTTTTAAGGCCTAGTACAGTGTCTGGCACATAAGTGTCCACTAAATGTCTGTGCAATGACTAAATGAAAAGATTAGAACTTCCTTTCCACCAGTCTCTTCCTCTTATTAAAGACTCCTCAATTCCACTCCATGTAAAGTTCTCTAGTACTTGGGCCAGGCGTGATGGCTTACTCCTGTAATACCAGCACTTTGGGAGACTGAGGCAGCCATATCACCTGAGGGTGGGAGTTTGAGACCAGCCTGGACAACATAGTGAAACCCCATCTCTATTAAAAATACAAAAATTAGCCAGGGCGTGGTGATGGGCACCTGTAATTCCAGCTACTTGGGAGGCTGAGGCTGCAGTGAGCTGAGATTGTGTCACTGCACTCCAGCCTGGGTGACTCCATCTCAAAAAAAAAAAAAAAAGTTATCTTGAAAAAGATATATTTGCGTATTTATTACAAAAACATTTATAAAAGAGATTATTATATGTAAGGCACCGGCCTAGGTGCTGTCATTTTATATAAAGAATATAAAATGTAGTTCCTGGCATCAGGGGGTTTATTCAAGACTAAAATAAAATAAAAGCATACCTCATTTTTATTTTTACAAATTGAAAGCTTGTGGTCACCCTATAGCGAACAAGTCTGTTGGCTCCATTTTTCCGAAAGCATGTGCTCACTTCATGTCTCTGTGTCACATTTTGGTAATTCTTGAAGCATCTCAAAATTTTCATTATTATTATATGTGTTATGGTGATAGGTGATCAGTGATCTTTGGCGTTACTATTGTAATTGTTTTAGCTTGCAATGAACCACGCCCTTATGGGTCAGTAAATTTAATAATTGTGTGTTCTGACTGCTTCACTGGCCATTTCCCCATGTCTCTCTTCTTGGGCCTCCCTATTCCCTGATACGTAACAGTATTGAAATGAAGCCAATTAGTAACCATACGATAGCTTTTGAGTATTCAAGTGAAAGGAAGAGCCACATGTCTCTCACTTTAAATCAAAAACTAGAAATGAACCTTAGTAAGGAAGGCATATTGAAAGCTAAGGTAGGCTTAAAGCTAGGTCTCTTGTGCCAAACAGCCTAGTTATTAATGCAAAGGAAAAGTTATTGAAGGAAATTAAAAGTGCTACTTCCAGTGAACACATGACTAACAAAGCAAAACAGCCTTATTGCTGATATGGAGAAAGTTTGAGTGAACTGGATAGAAGAACAAAATAGCCACAATATTCCCTTAAACCAAAGCCTAATCCAAAGGAAGGCCCTAACTCTCTTTGATTCTGTGAAGGCTGAGAGAGGTGAAGAAGCTAAAGGAGAAAAGTTGGAAGCTAGCAGAGATCGGTTAATGAGGTTTAAGGAAAGAAGCCATCTCCATAACATAACAGTGCAAGGTAAAGCAGCAAATCCTGATTATAGGGAAACAGCAAATGCTGATTGTAACAAAGCAGCAAATGCTGATGTTAGAAGCTGCAGCAGGTTATCCAGAAGATCTTGCTAAGATCATTGAAGGTGGCTTCACTAAGCAGGTTTTCCTTTTTTTTTTTTTTTTTTTTGAGATGGAGTCTCGCTCGCTCTGTAGCCCAGGCTGGAGTGCAATGGCATGATCTCGGCTCACTGCAACCACTGCCTCCTGGGTTCAAGTGATTCTCCTGTCTCAGCCTCCCAAGTAGCTGAGATTACAGGCTACTTGGATCTCATGTCCAGCTAATTTTTTGTATTTTTAGTAGAGACAGGGTTTCGCCATGTTGGCCAGGCTAGTCTTGAACTCCTGACCTCAGGTGATCCACCCGCCTTGGCCTCCCAAAGTGCTAGGATTACAGACATGAGCCACCGCACTCAGCCAACAGATTTTCAATGTAGATGATACAGCCTTATATTGGGAGAATATGCTATCTAGGACTTTCTTAACTAGAGAGAAGTCAATGCCTGGCTTCAAAGCTTCAAAGGACAGGCTGACTCTCGTGTTCGGGGCTAATACAGCTGGTGACTTTAAGGTGGAGTCCAGTGCTCATTTATCATTTCAAAACTCCTAGGGCCCTTAAGAATTATGCTAAATCTATTCTACCTGTGCTCTATCCACGGAACAACAAAGCCTGATGGCAGCACATCTTTTTACAGCATGGTTTACTCGATATTTTAATTCCACTGTTGAGGCCTACTGCTCAGAAAGAAAGATTCCTTTCAAAATATTGCTACTCATTGATAATGCATCCTGGTTACTAACCCAAGTACTTCAATGGAGATGCACAAGAGTAATGTTGTTTTCATGCCTGCTAACACAATATCCATTCTGCAGCCCATGGATCAAAGAGGAATTTCTACTTTTTTTTTTTAAGACAGAGTCTTGCTCTGTTGCCCAGGCTAGAGTGCAGTGGTGTGATCTCAGCTCACTGCAAGCTCCACCTCCCAGGTTCACGCCATTCTCCCGCCTCAGCCTCCTGAGAGGCTGGGACTACAGGCACCTGCCACCGCGCCCAGCTAATTTTTTGTATTTTTAGTAGAGACGAAGTTTCACCGTGTTAGCCAGGACAGTCTCGATCTCCTGGCCTTGTGATCTGCCTGCCTCGGCCTCCCAAAGTGCTGGGATTACAGGCGTGAGCCACCACGCCTGGCCAGTAATTTCTACTTTTAAGTCTCATTATTTAAGAAATAAATTTCGAAAGGCTATAGCTGCCATAGATAGTGATTCCTCTGATGGATCTGGGCAAGGAAAATTGAAATCCTGGAAAGGATTCACCCTTCTACATGCCATTAAGAACATTAGTGATTCATGGGAGAGAGTCAAAATATCAACATTAACAGGAGATTGGAGGAAGTTGATTCTAACTCTCATGGATGACTTTCCGGGGTTCAAGACTTTAGTGGAGAAAAGTAACTATAGATGTCGTGGAAATAGCAAGAGAACTAGTATTGGAAGTGGAGCTTGAAGATATGACCAAATTCCGGGAGGCTGAGGCAGGAGAATGGCATGAACCCGGGAGGTGGAGCTTGCAGTGAGCTGAGATCACGCCACTGCACTCCAGCCCGGGCAACAGAGCAAGACTCAGTCTCAAAAAAAAAAAAAAAAAAAAAGATATGACCAAATTGTTGCAATCTTATAATGAAACTTGAACGAGTGTAGAGTTGCTTCTTATGGATGAGCAAAGAAAGTGGTTTCTTGAGATGGAAACTACTGCTGAAGATGCTGTGAACATTGTTGAAACTACAAGAAAGGATTGGGAATATTACATAAACATAGTTGATAAAACAGCAAGGTTAGTAGAGAATTGACTCCAATTTTGAAAGAAGTTCTACTGAAGTTTAAATGCTATCAAACAGCACTGCATTCTACAGAGAATCTGCATAAAAATCTTTCACGAGAGTCAGCTGATGTGGCAAACTTCATGGTCATCTTATTTTAAGAAATTGCCAAAGCCACTCCCAACTTTCAGCAACCACCATTGTGATCAGTCAGCAGCCATCAACATCAAGGCAAAACCCTCTACAAGGAAAAGATTACAACTGAAGGCTCAGATGATCATTAAACAGCATGTTTTAGCAATAAAGTATTTTTAAATTGAGGTATGTACATTTTTAAAAATATGCTATTGTATACTTGATAGACTACAGTGTAAACATAACTCTTATAACCACAGAGAAACCAAAAGACTCACTTTATTATGGCAGTCTGGAACCAAACCCACAATATCTCAGAGGTATGCCTGTACTATGAAGAATGAGGTATAAATTAATGACCATAGCAGCCATAGGGGACAGTGTAATCCATGTTTAAGGAATGGCTTATGACTTGGATGGATGTTGGGATGCTGTGTGATGGAAAATGCGTTCAAGTAGCTTAGCTCAATGCCAGCATAAACTCAGTTAATAATTATTATTATATCCTTTAGTCCTTGAGTGAGGACATAATATTGAATAAATTATTTTCTTTCCAGACCAATACAGGAGATGAGGTGAAGGTCAGATCATAGTGTGTCCTGATGATTATTTAGGAGTCTGTACTTGATTTGGGGGCAGTGAAACACCTGGGAGCTCTTGTGTAGAGTTATTGCAAGATTGGAGCCATGTTTCCAGAAGACAGAGATAGCAGCCATGTTCCATATGTAGGCGGGCTGGAATGGGAGAGATTGGATTTCCTCAAACACACTAAGAAGCTGTAACTCCAGAATGGAGTGAGGTGTTAAGACTCAGCTAGGTTGGTATCAATGTCGTCACAGAATTTGTGATGCAACAATGCTTTCAAAAATGGTCAGAGGACCTCATTGCTTCAGCAACCTACAGTTGGCCTCCTGGCATGGTGTATCCATTCTTTTAACATCAGTAAAGGGACTGGCACCACTGTTTATCAACTGTGTGACCCTGGCTGGGTTGCTTAATGCTCTAAGCTTCAGCATTTCTTCATCTGAAAAGACAGAGATGGATCTGGGCATAGTGGCTCACACCTGGAATCCTAGCACTTGGAGGCCAAGGCAAGAGGATCCCTTAAGCCCAGGAGTTTGAGACCAGCCTGGGCAACATAGTGAGACTTTGTCTCTACAAAAAATGAAATTAATGGGACGTGGTGGCACACACCTGTACTCCCAGCTTCTTGGGCTGAGGTGGGAGGATTGCCTGAGCCCATGAGGTCAAGGCTGCTTTGAGCCAAGATCATACCACTATACTCCAGCCTGGGTGACAGAGTGAGACCCTATCTCTCAAAAAAAAAAAAAAAAGATAATTATCATCTATTTCATAGGGTTATTGTGAAGACTAAACAAAAAATGCATCCAAATACCTTAACTCAATGTCAGCATATAACAAACTCTCAGCTAATAAGATTATATCCTTTAGTCCTTGAGTAAGGATATAATATTGAGCAAATTCTTTTCTTTCCAGACCAACACAAGTTTTGCAGTTTAAAAATTCCTTTGTCTCTTTAAGGTCACTAGGATCTCATTGGTGTTGCTCTAATATCATTTACAAGTGTGAATGGTATGTCCTTTCAAGCTATCATATCAAAAATTCTCTAGAGGTTTAGGCTTGGTAGTATGGTTTTTGTAAATCTGTTGGAAAAGATGGTAACAAAGGAAGGGGAAGGAGGGAGGGAAAATTGGCTTTTGTGATTATTTCCAAATCTTTCTTTGCTCAGAATGAATTTTTTTTCCATTCCGTTGTTATACCAGACATGCTCTAGCAAGTGCCTGTGATATAGCCTACTTAATATAACCAAGGTAGTTTAAACATTAATTGAACTCAGACACCCGAGTACTGGTAGTACCAGGAACTGGCTGATGAAGTCAGCTACCCCTGCCTTATGCAGTCACTTCAGTTCAATCAGTATAGAGATTAAGGACCCACATTTGCAACATCTCGGGTTTCCTCTACCTACTAAGTTACTTTGCTCTAACATGCTTAGAAATAATTTTAATTCTTTATTGTTATTGAGTACTCATTAATTCATTAGGGAAAATGGACTAAGGTCACAGATTTTGCAAATGCTCACAAGGAACAGACTATCCAGAAGCAGGCCTGCCATGTGAGATCTTTCCAGATGCCATAACGAAAGGAGACTCTTAAGGAGAGGCAGCTGTCAGCACCTACAGAAGACACAAGCATCTCAGCCCTTACCATTGAAACTTGAGCCTTTAGTCACTTGGAGGAGCTAGTTTTTCCACCAGGCTAGGTGTGGCTTGTTCCCACCACTTGTTGGTGTCCCCTCTGAACACTTCGATTCAAACTGAAGTGAAGAAAAACATTGCCAGTCGGTGCTGCTGACTCGTAGGTCCATAGAGCAAGTCCCTCGTGGGCTCCGGCCTGGCTGTGAATCCCTGGTTCCAGGGATACCTGGCAGAGAGTACCGGTCACCAGAGCTCTGGGTTCTGACCTGGCTCTCAGGGCCACCTAACTTTGGGATGTCCAGCCAGTTGCTTCACTCCCCTTCTCTCAGCCTTAAACCTCCTCACTTGTAGGGTTTGACTATCACTGTCAAGCAGCAGAACAATTAGAGCAGCTGTTTTCTGTGTGGTCACAGTGGGATGAGAGATGAGCAGAGAGCTAGGAGAGATTTCTTGGGGAAAGCAGATTCATCAGTTTAAAAATACAGTTTGAAAACACCAGCCTAGATGATCTTTGAATCTCCTTGCTCTGAATTCAGTGATTTCAGGCAAACCAGGGATGAACCGCCCAAGGCCACCAACTAGGCCTTGGCCTCTTCTTGATCATGAATCAGGCCTCTTCCATTTGTTGACAACAATGTCTGGTAGAAAGAAATGATGTTCCCCCAAGCCTGAAAAGCAGAATCTTTAAGGAAGAAATTTTCAAAATTATCTGAGAGGGCAAAATGGCAGATGGATTCTGTTTTTTACCTCTCAATAAGCAAGTGATAAAACTGTAATTCATTCCATTAAAAATCATTCATTTACTTCTATTAATTCAATAAACTTCAGCTAGAGGCCCCTGCATACAGAGGTATGTGTAGAGAACCATGGAACAGCCAGAGGTTGTGCCCTCAGGTTTTATGGACATGATATGAGGTATATAAGAAATGAGTATAAGCTGGGCGCGGTGGCTCACACCTGTAATCCCAGCACTTTGGGAGGCTGAGGTGGGTGGATCACCTGAGCTCAGGAGTTCAGGACTGGCCTGGACAACATGACAAAACTCCGTCTCTACAAAAAATACCAAAATTTGCCAGGAATGGTGGCATGTGCCTGTAGTCTTAGCTACTTGCTAGGCTGAGGTGGGAAGATCATTTGAGCTCAGGAGGCAGAGGTTGTGGTGAGATACTGCACTCCAACCTAAGCGACAGAGTGAGACCCTGTCTCAAAAAAAAAAAAAAAAAAAGGTAAAAATAACCATAAAGGATTGAGTGTCGTGAGAAATAGCTAGAAAGCTTTATAGGAAATGGACTGTTTAGAGCAAGAGAAGGAGGAATCAGGGTAGAGTTTAATTGGAAGGAAAAATTGGGTTTAAGCTTGGGATGAAAAACATTCCAAGCAGAGAAACTTGCACTGGCACAGAGGCAGGAAAATGGAAAACATGTATGAGGAAAAATGAATAGTTTAGTTTGGCTGACACTGAAGTTTGGCAAGAAGAGTAGTTGGAAAGGTCCATTGGGTGGGTGTCTTAAATAAACACTCTTTGTCCATTTCAGTCTTTCCGAGGTTGTACCACCTGATTCCAGATGGCGAAATTACCAGCATCAAGATCAATCGAGTAGATCCCAGTGAAAGCCTCTCCATTAGGCTGGTGGGAGGTAGCGAAACCCCACTGGTCCATATCATTATCCAACACATTTATCGTGATGGGGTGATTGCCAGAGACGGCCGGCTACTTCCAGGAGACATCATTCTAAAGGTAGAGACTATGGCTATGGGGCTGCAGCAAGGGGCTTCTGAGCAAATAATTGGTAGATGCATAGATGAATGAGCAAAATGGTAAAAAAAATATGGATAGTCACTTTCTATCATTTTATGACTCTGAGATTTGTCATTTAATTGAGATCTTTGTTTCTCTCTGTCTTGCTCTTTCACTCTCTCCACCCTTTCTCTCTGTACATAAATATTTATCTGTCTATATATCATTTTATCTGTCCCCTCTTCTCCCTTCTAGCTTTTTCCATCTTCCTCTTCGTTCCCTTTCTCCACCTCCTCTTTCTTCTTTTATCTCTTTTTTTTTAAAGAGCATTAATATAAAATAAAATGGGGACAATATTTTCTTAAATTGTTTTTAGAGTAGATTAGTAGAACATTTTGTATTTTATTTAATCACAATCACCTACTCTTTGAAAGTCAATTTCCTATAGTCTTATGGCCCTCCCTGAAAATAAAAGTAATCTCTATGTTAGTTTCACCGACCCAGAGACATTCCAGGGGAGACAGGTGTTGGAATAGAATGCTTTGGGTGTTACTGTCCTCAGAGACTTGGTTAAAGGGAAGGACTTTAAGGAGGAATTTTCAGAACAGAAAGGATAAAGAGCTGTTTATCAGACAGAAGTCCAGTGTTTGCCAAAAGTGACAAGAAACCCCTCCCTGCTCATATATTTTCTATCTGACACTGAGATAACAGTTCTATCCCATCCCTTCTAGGTTGCTGAGGGACCGGCTCCTGTCACATTATGAGCTGTTTCTTTGGCAAACTGATTGGAATAAGAGGAGAAATAACCTAAAGCAGTTTTCACAGAAATGCTGAAATTCCTGCTGGCCTCTGAGGTGGAGCATAAGACAGGGCCCTCGGGGCAGTCCACAGTACAATCAGTGACACTGTGCATGGCTGCCTCCCAGTTCTAGTGGAAACTATGCTGCCTGGGAGGGTTGCATAATAGAACATTTTGATTCCTGTTGCCTTCAACTGGCACTTACAAGCAAAAGGGCTGCCAGGACTATTTAGCAGGCAACCCTGACTCCCCTGACCTTCTCTGGGCCCAGAGGTGATGGGGGAACCAGGTCCTGCCACCTCAGGTGCTCTCCTCACCTGTGCTTGGACAAGGGTGGTGAGCTTTGCCTTTGCATGAGGGAGCCTCTGGAGCTGCACCAGAGAACAGGTGACTGTATCCTCAAGAAAGGCCTTTGCAAAGCCTGTTCCAAGCCTTCTCTAACAATTGGCTGCAAATACAAGAAATCTTATCAAACTACAGAAATTCAAGAAAGTTATTTCTCCTCCATGGGGCCTCTTTCCTCAAGCACGGAGTGCAGCGCTTGCTGTGAAATTGTTTTCTTCCAACATGGGGGCTACAGCCTCCAGGCTGGGCCTGTGTAGCCAGAGAAATTAAAACCAGAAAGCCCCATGCAGTATCAGCTCTACACATCATTAGTGAGGCACAAATGAGAGGGCCGAGCTTAAGCTTGTTTAAGTAACTTTATAAAGAGATCTAGCCTTTCAATAAAAGAGTCTAGACACTTCCTTTCATATCAGTTTGTTTGAAACTGTGCAAGGATCTCTTCCTTTTGCTGAGAACACGGGCAAAAAAAATCTTGTAGGGGACCACCCTGAGACCTGACACGTTCCCATGCACACATACACAGTATCATACACACATACGCTCCTTCATGCTCACATACTCACAGACCCTCACTCACACACTAGAACATCTGCATACACACACAGTGGTGAGGACTGGAAGTTCGGGTATAAGTTGACCCAGGGAGAAAAATTCAGTTGGAGATTTTTGGGAAGAAAATGTCAACTCGGCTTGAACAGCTGTTTAATGCAATCATTTGACTGAGGCAAATTGGAAAAATGCTTTTCTTTTGCCTTTTCCTACCTTATCTTCCTTTCCTCTCTTCCTGTCAGCTAAAAAATAATGACAACAGAAATGAAGGCCAGGATTCTGGGAATAAATATGTGGGCTTGGGTAAGAACAAGGTGGAGAAAGACGGTGTCTACTCACAGAGGCCTGGAGAGGTGCTGCAGGCCACGCTTGGAGAGAACAGGGTTAGAAACGCTGTTGGAAGGTGCAGTTATTGGACACAGGATGAGGTGGGAGAGCATAGCAGTCTTTAAAGACAGGATCCTGGCTATTCTGCAGGCCTGGATCTTTCAGGAAGGGTTGTGGCAGGTGGAGCTGACCACATGATTTTTCCACCTGCCCCCAGGTCAACGGGATGGACATCAGCAACGTCCCTCACAACTATGCCGTGCGTCTCCTGCGGCAGCCCTGCCAGGTGCTGTGGCTGACTGTGCTGCGTGAACAGAAGTTCCGCAGCAGGAACAATGGACAGGCCCTGGATGCCTACGGATCCCGGGATGACAGCTTCCATGTGATTCTCAACAAAAGTAGCCCCGAGGAGCAGCTTGGAATAAAACTGGTGCGCAAGGTGGATGAGCCTGGGGTTTTCATCTTCAATGTCCTGGATGGCGGTGTGGCAGATCGACATGGTCAGCTCGAGGAGAACGACCGCGTGTTAGCCATCAACGGACATGACCTTCGATATGGCAGCCCAGAAAGTGCGGCTCATCTGATTCAGGTGAGTCACAGATCATTCCAGGATCCCAGTCAGAAACCCTGTACATGAGGAAGAATGCAAATCCCCCTGAACCAGGCACCCTGTCACTACCACATGTGTCATGCTGTGCCTCCCTTTCAAGGAATCAGGATGGAAAGACCAACATTTAGAAAGCTTCTGCCCAGGTAAGAACATTACTCGGCTGAGCGTGGTGGCCCACGCCTGGAATCCCAGCACTTTGGGAGGCCGAGGCGGGTGGATCACCTGAGGTCAGGAGTTCAAGGCCAGCCTGGCCAACAGGGTGAAACCCCATCTCTACTAAAAATACAAAAAATTAGCCAGGCATGGTGGCAGATTCCTGTAATCCCAGCTATTCAGGGGGCTGAGGCAGGAGAATCGCTTGAAACCAGGAGGCAGAGAGGTTGCAGTAAGCTGCGATCGCACCATTGCACTCCAGCCTGGGCAACAAGAGCGAGACCCATCTCAGGAAAAAAAAAAAAAAAAGAACATTACACGAGCAAATGATGGGCTTCAAGGCCATGGACATTCCCTGGGTGTTGTGTTGTCAGCCATCCAGTCTGACTGCAGATAAACACATTGGGTTGTATGCTACAATCTCACAGAATTAGGATCACTCAGGGTCAGCAGGGTCGTGTCATCCCTGTACCCAGTATGTCCAGTGTAGACCCAGGGGTCAGTTACATACATTCAGGACACATCTAAGACATCTAGTTGTATTTACTCCTGTAAGAAGCTGTGCCATGTGAGACGTAGTAGCTCAGCCAGGTGTGGAGGCTCACACCTGTAATCCCAACAGTTTGGGAAGCCAAAGCAGGAAGGTGACTTGAGCTCAGGAGTTTGAGACCAGCCTGGACAGCATAGTGAGATCTCGTCTTTACAAAATTCAAGAAATTAGTCAGGCATCATGACATGCACCTGTAGTCCCAGCTACTCGAGAGGCCAAGGCGAGTGGATCACCTGAGGTCAAGAATTCAAGGTCAGCCTGGCCAACATGGTGAAACCCTGTCTCTACTAAAAATACAAAAAATTAGCCAGGCGTGGTGGCAGGGGCCTGTAATCCCAGCTACTTGAGAGACTGAGGCAGGAGAAAAAAAAAAAAAGGCTATGCCATGCATCCTCCAGGGATCCTATGGACAGGGTAAGTGTTAGTCTCCATGGCTAAGTCCAGGTGACTTGGAAAGCACATGGAAACCCAAGTATGAACCTGAGAGGAAGCCCTCTAATAAGAGAGGGACACAAATTCTTGATCTCTCAGGCAAGTAGAGTTCATGACTGTTCCAACTAATCCACTTTTCTGACCAGTATAATGTCATCAAGCACCTGCATGTGTTTTGTTGACTTTGTCAGGGTCACTGTTGAAATTTTTTTTCTTTAACTTTTTTATTTTAAGATAATTATCAATTAATATGTGATTGTAAGAAATAATACATAGAGATCCCAAAAACGGTAAAGAGTTACTGTTTTTCCTAGTGTTAACATCTTGCAAAACCATAGTATGGCGTCACAAGCATGCTATTGACATTAACAGTCATAACAGAATATTTCCGTCACCACAAAGATCCCTGTAAAAGTTGCCTTCTATTGCCACATCCATTTCCCTCCCACCCCATGTCCTCCTTAACCCTTGGAAATCACTAATCTGTTTTCTATTTCTATAATTTTGAATTTCAAGAATGTTATATAAATGAAATCATATATAGACTTGGGGGACCGGCTTTTTTCACCCAGTATAATGCTCTGATAGTTCTGTGTCTCAGCGACGTTTCGTAAGCTGTGAGCTTTATTCTTAGAAGAACAGACTTTGTTCTGGGCTCTTATGTTCTAACCCATTCATTCACTTCATCCAGTAAATATCTGTTAAGTTCTGCTGCTTACGTGCCCGTGGGTTAGATGCAGAAATTGGAGGACCACTTAGATTATTCTTCCAAAGGATCCACCACTGTAGCAGGAAAGCTGGACTTTATCTAAATGACTGCCCATGCAGTCTAACACTACTGCAATGGAAAAATTAAGTATGATGCTGCTGCAGGCACAGGGGAGGTTTTTGCTTGGCCAGGTCTATGAATTCCTCAGAGGAGGAAGATCTTGAACTTGGGGCTTGAGGAATGAGCTGAAGTTCTCCAGTGTATAAGTCAGCAAGGGTCATTCTAAGGAGACACAGGACAAAAGAACATTTCCTTAATAGCCCATGTGTTAGTCCGTTCTCATGCTGCTGATAAAGACATACCCAAGGCTGGGTAATTTAAAAAGAAGAAGAGGTTTAGTGGAACCACAGTTCCACATGGCTCAGGAAGCCTCACAATCATGGCAGAAGGTGAAAGGCGAATCTTACGTGGCAGCAGGCAAGAGAGAATGAGGGTCAAGCAAAAAGGGAAACCTTTATAAAACCATTGGATCTCGTGAGACTTACTACCACAAGAACGGTATGGGGGAAACCATCCCCGTGATTCAATTATCTCCCACGGGGTCCCTCCCACAACACGTGGGAATGATGGGAGCTACAACTCAAAATGAGACTTGGGTGGGGACACAGCCAAACCATATCAGCCTATTAGGGAAATGATAAATAGCACCTGGAGCCTGGGTTGTGTATTTTAAAAAGCAGCCATAGACGAGGCAAGAGACAGATCTTGTGAAATATTACGAGCCATGCTAAGGACCTCGGACTTTATCTGCAAAGCCATAGGGGCATTGTTGGAAGGGTTTAGGAAAGGAAATGGCATGATCTTCTAGAATGATCTCTCTAAAGTCAGTGGAGAGCTGAAAGGAGAAGGGCAAGATCCAGAGGCCTTATCTTAAAAAGTATTCTCAATTATCCAGCAAGTCTATGTCAACTTCCATTTAGTGACTGAAGTCTTCATACTTTGAGAATAGGCAGTAAGTCAGCAGCAGTAACTGACGGAGCCCTGCACCAAGTTCCACAAAGGGTGATCATCAAAAGACTGCTTGCTCTCACTTGGTTATTTAAACACAAATAAATTTGCCTGCCCTGAGATCTCGTTATGTGATTCTTCCAGGTGCTGGCAACTCTCTTCACTGTCCTGTACACTAGCTTATCCCTCTTCTTGGAAGAGGACCAAGTGTTAGATGGTATTACTGTCATTGTAGACCTGGGCAACCTGAGGCAGAGGGTACAAGGGGACTTAGCCTTCTCCCTCTGCCCACCAGGGCAGAAAACACACATGGTAAGTACCTTAGCTGCTGAGCTGTGCTGCTTGGTGGTGTCCCAGTTCCAAGGTGGCTCTCGGCCCCCATGGATGCTCATCTGCCCTAGAGGGCCCGAGCTCGTGCCCAGTAGATCAGGTGGGGAACAAAACCAGAGTTAGAAGAGGCATTTTCTGGCTGGGTGCGGTGACTCATGCCTTTAAATCCAGCACTTTGGGAGGCCAAGGCGGGCAGATTGCGAGGTCAGTAGTTCGAGATCAGCCTGGCCAACATGGTAAAACCCCATGTCCACTAAAAATACAAAATTAGCCAGGTGTGGTGTCAGGCACCTGTATTCCAGCTACTTGGGAGGCTGAGGTAGGAGAATTGCTTGAACCCAGGAGGCAGAGGTTTCAGTGAGCCAAGATCGCACCACTGCACTCCAGCCTGGGGACAGAGCAAGACTCCGTCTCCAAAAACAAACAAACAAACAAACAAAAAAGGGACATTTTCTTTCTGAGGTGTACACCATCTATTCCCAAATTCATGTGCCCACCTCACCTTCTCCTCTGACCACACTTACACCTCCAGATGTCTGCTTTATATCTTCCTGTGGATATGGCAAAGGCATCTCAAATTTAATGTCCAAAATTGAACCCTTGGCTCCTCCCATTCCACCACTTGCCCAACATGCTCTGCCCTAGGCCATTCCCAGTCTATAAAAATGGCACCTCTGTTTACCCAGTGACTTGAGCCAAAAAGAACTTTGACTCTCCTCAACGTCTCCCTCCCCCACCCCATTTTGACCTGGTCTGAGTGACAGCCAGAGCCTCTGCTGGCCTCCTGCCTTCCACACTTAATCATCTCTCTCCTACTCTACGCACAGCAGAGAGAATGAGCTGTTTACCAAACCACTCCAGTCAGGATGCCGCTGTCTCCCTCTCAGCCCTCTGTGGCTTCCTGAGACACTTAGGTTAAAGTTGCAGATCCTTACCATGGCCTGCAGTGCCATATGTCTCCTAGCCTTCTGTTCTCTCTCCAACCTCATTTCTTACAGAAGAGATGTCTAGTATTCTCCCCATGTTTAACCATGTGCCACGTTGCCTTCTTGCTGCTCTTCAAGCATTTCTGCCTCAGGCCTGGCATTCTTGCTGTTCCTCTACCTGGAAGAATCTTCTAAATATCCATTTGCCACATTCCCACAGTTCATTCAGGTCTCCCCTCAACTGTCAGAGAGCTCTTCACTGTCAGTTCTACTTAGAATTGTGTCAATTTCTGCTCATAGACACTTTATCCTACAATACGCTTCAACTCCTACCAACTAATATTACCTGCCAGACAGTACAGTAAAGTATTGTATCCGCAGCCAAGCGCAGTGGTTCGTGCCTATAATCTGAGCACTTTGGGAGGCCGAGGCGTGTGGGTCACCTGAGGTGAGTAGTTCGAGACCAGTCTGGCCAACAGGGTGAAATCCCATCTCTACTAAAAATACAAAATTAGCCAGGGGTGGTGGCGCACCCCTATAATCCCAGCTACTTGGGAGGTTGAGGCAGAAGAATCACTTGAACTTGGGAGGCGAAGGTTGCAGTGAGCCAAGATGGTGCCATTGTACTCCAGCCTGGGCAAAAAGAGTGCAACTCTGTCTCAAAAGAAAAAAAAATAATTATTGTATCCTCAACACTTAAAGCAATGGCTGGCAATAGCAGGCATTCAATAAGTGTTTGCCAAATGAGTAAGTGGAGTCAAATTATCAACATCTATGTGTATATAAAATATATTTTATACATTAACTTTATCTCCTAGGGATTGGTTATCAAACCATTTACCAAAGAAGCACCAAATCTGCTTTCACATGC